TAGCTTGTGTCAGGTTGACAAAAACAAAACAAGAAACAAAACCACCATCCAGGATATCACCCTTATGTAACTGAGCTCTAGCAGTGTGCTGTGTGCTACACGGTCCCTATCAATACAAGCAATGTTCTTAGGAAGCAGTCAGGGTTCTTCAGTGATTGAGTAACGGACACTTGGCATTTGCCACTTCATACGGAAAACAAAACCCAAGAGCTGTTATCCTGGTGGGCTGAGAGTAGTGAGCACTTTCTCTTACATTCTTTTTTTTTTTAATTTTCATTTAAAAAAATTCTTCTCAGGCTGCAGAGATGGCTCAGTGGTTAAGAGCACTGGCTGCTTTTCCAGAGGTCCTGAGTTCAATTCCTAGCAACCACATGGTGACTCACAACCATCTATAATGAGATCTGGTGCCCTCTTCTGGCCTATAGGCATACATGCAGGCAAAACACTATACATAATAAATAAATCTTTAAAAAAATACATCCTGACTATAGCCTCCCTTCCCTGTACTCCTCCCAGTCCCCCCTCCTTCTTTTACATTCTCTTAATCTTTCCAGAATAATTGATGGTTGACAGAAACCTTTGTGGAGTCCATGAATTTGTGCAGAATGCATTCTACAAGAGAACTCTCCTATTGTGATTCAAATGGAAATCAAGGGATTCTATCATGATCCCCTAAACAAAATGTTTTCTTATTGCTTCAAACAGCAGTGTCAGGTAAAAGTGTGATGTGACCTGAAAGCTGGAAGAGTTTCTAAGATGATCAAATGCCATTTTGAGGAAGTAATATGAGCATTGTTTCTTCATCAGTTAATCCAGCTACTTATTGTGTGCTGTCTAAGTTACAGGCACTGTCCTGGGTAGTAGGAAGGTGTCTATCCTTCATGAAGTAGACAGTTGAGGTCAGACTTGTATCCCAGGTGGCTATGGTGGACTTAGGAGAGCTCTGATTCATCCACTCAGTATTTATTATTTTCTACTCTTTGCCTCCAGAAGACAGCACTGGCTTCCCTTTGTTTATACCCATAAAATGTGAGTCATTCCCTAGCCATAGTCTTGTTCCAGACTCACAAGTCACACTGCAGTCTGGGTTGTATTGACTGCCGCTTGAGTGTCAGCCTGCACTGACCCTCGTGGGAGAGCTGCGAGACCAGCTGCATAGGGAACAGGCTGGGCATGGTGGGGGGAGCTCTGTTTTTGTTCTCTGTCCATTTTTGTTTAGTGCAATATGTATTTACAGATAGCCAGGCATAGTAGTTCTTTCAGCACTGAGGAGGTTGAAATAGGAAGATTAAAAAGTTTGAGTCTACTTTGTATTGCATAGTGAGTTTAAGGCCTCCATGGGGTATATGTGGAGATCCCATCTCAGAACAAAAACAGAACCCTTAAAACAAAACAGTTCTCAAAAGTGCTACTATATCATTACTAAGCCCTTAATCTGCCAGGTATGCTGGCATATGCCTGTAATACCAGCACTTTAGATGCGAGGCAGGAAGATTGACACAAGTTTGAGGCCAAGGTCCAGGCTAGCCAGGGCTATATAGCAAGTCATGAAAGTGAGCCCAGGAAATGTATTGTGCACTAGCTTTTAGAAAGTGCTTTCCTAAGGTTGTTCGCTCTCTAGCACATGCAAGTCAGCGCAGCAGAAGGTGTTGTTATGAACAGCCATGAAGTGTCAAACAAGCTTTTCAACCAGAACCCATTCCCTGCAATTTGAGGCACAGATGCTGCCAAAAAAAAAGAAAGAAAGAAAAATTTCCCTTAATTGATAAATTTGTACCTATGAATAAATGAAGTCAACTGTTCTTTCTGATATTTCTCCCTCCCTCTCCCCCATCTCCTTTTCAAGACAGAGTTTCTCTGTGTAGCCCTGGGTATCCTTGATCTACAACCAGGATGGCCTCGAACTCACAGAGATCCTCCTGCCTCTGCTTTCTGAGTGCTGGGATTAAAGGTGTGCACCAACACTGGGCTCTTTCTGTTCTCTTAAATGGTGGGTGTTGGTCTTATGTATGGATTTGGCAGTTTTGACTGGTGGTTTTCTTATGCACAAAGTGGTCCTTTGAGGAAAACCTGAAATTTTATTTTTAAATGAATTAATTAATTAATATCTTTTATTTATTCTTTGACAATTTCATAATGTAAACAATGTATCTTCATCATTTCTATCTTAACTCTTCCCCTCTTTTCCTAGGAACCTTATATGTCCCTATCTCTACTTCGTCCCCCTTCCCTTTTTTGTAACCCATTTAGTTCAATTAGTGTTGCCTGTTGGAATGTTGACTAGTCTTGTTGACTTGATCTTGTGTAGGTAACTAAAGTTTCAGTGAGTTCATGAGTATACTGGCCATGTCTTCTAGAAGATGGCAGTTCTCAGCACTCCTCCCTATCCTCTGGCTCTTATATTCTTTCTACCTTCTTTTCCACAGTGTTCCCTGAGCCTTAATGCATTCGAGAGTTTGTATAGGTATCCTGTGTAGAGGCCAGTCACAGAATCTCAGCATTTTGACCAGTTATGAGTTGCTTAGTTAATTGCTGACCACTACAGAGAGAAAGAAGCTTGTCTGGCTGAGGCTGAGGTCAGCAGTTTGACATGGCCAGTTAGCAAGGTAGCAGTGGGTATTTCCCTGCTATGGCCTATGACCTCCCAGCCTTGGGCTTTTGATCAAGTTTACAGTACCAGCTATGAGTTCCCTCCAGTGAAAATTTTCTAAATAATACTTTGGTTTTGAATATTTTACTTTTGTCCTGTAATAAAAGTGATTATATCTTTTTACAGTATATCCAGGGGCCTGAAGTATAGCTCAGTTGGTAGAGTGCTTGCCTACCACATAGACAGCCCTGGGTTCAGCACTGTATAAGGAAAGCATGGTAATGCATATCTGTAATGTAGTATTTAGGGGTAGAGTCAGAATCAGAAGGTCTTTCTAGACAGCACAGCAAGTTTGAGGTCAATCTGGGATACATGAGACCCTGTCTTGGTGCTGGTGGAGTATTATATACTTAGAGGAACTGTGGTTAAAAAAACAAACTATATATAATTTATCTAGTGTATGGGCCAGAGAGATGGCGCAGTGGGTGAAAGTAGGCCTAAATTCAATCTGAAGCCCACCAACAAGCCTGATGTGCCAGCAAGCATTTGTAATCCCAGCACTCCTATGGTGAGATGGGCAGCAGCGACAGGAGAACTGAGTGGACCAGTTAGCCTGGAGTGTGAAACACAGCAGCAGAAACTAGAGATCTTGCTTCACAATATTGAGGAAGGAACCAACTCCTGAAAAGTCTTCTGGCCCCATCATACGAACACCATACTCCCCCTCTTTCTCTTTCTTCCTCTGGTCCTTAGGACTCTTGTTGGTCTTCTTCTCATCATTAATGTAATTTTGCTGCTGGTATTTATGCAAGTGTGTATTCCAGTCTAAACCTCGAAATTTGTTACGTGCCAGCTTCCCCGAAGTGACCGCTCACATTCCAGCATGTGTAAGTCAGGGTAGTAAAAAGGGTTGTTCTGGGCAGCAAGATGAGAGCCAGGCATGGTTTCCAACTAGAAAACACTCCCTGCAATTGGAGGCAGAAATGAAACAGCAGATTCCTCTTGACCTGGGTTTGGGTAAGGAGTGAATGGATTTATGTAGTTTGCTGAAATTACAAATGAGAAGATGCTAAAAGGTAAAAGGCTCTTAGATTACTTGGAGTTCAAGAGACTAAAGTATCATATGACCCGAAAATAAAGTTTAAGGGTTTTTTTCTTTGTTTTTGTTTTGGTGTGTGTGTGTGTGTGTGTGTGTGTGTGTGTGTGTGTGTGTGTGTGTGTGTGTGTGTTCTGAGACTGGGTTTCTTTGTATGGCCCTGGTTGTCTTGGAACTCACTCTGTAGACCAAGCTGGGTCTCTCATTGAACTTGAAGTTCGTTGTACAAGAGGGCTCTTGTGGCCATTCTTGGGATTGGAACTCAGGTCTTCATGTTTGTTCAGCAAGTACTTTTACCCATGAGCTACCTCCCCAACCCCCAAGTGGTCATATTCTTAATGGTATAACCTCAGCGTAACTTGACTGAGCCTTTGAGATATCTGTGAAGTCTTGGAATAGGTTAGAAATTTTTGGTGACCCTGGCTAGCAGTTTGCAGAATGGTCTCTTGGTTTGACAACTGATTATATTGTGGACTTACTTGTTCTAGACATTGGCATTCTAATAGTAAGTAAATGTGGCCTCTGCCTTCAAAGGACTTACAGGATCACAGGGAACAGAATCTCTTCCTGTTTCTTCTTTTCCCTCCCCCTTGTATTTCTTCCTCTCCTCTTCTTCCCTCTCTTCTCATCATTTTTCTTTCCCCTTTCCTCCCCTCCCTTTTGAGATAGAGTTTCCCTAGGTTTTAGCCCAGGTTGGCCTGGAACTCACTCTGTGCCTCAGGTGGCATGTATCACCACACCTGTCTGAACAAGATGGGTTTTACATAAGTCAACTATATGTGTTGGATGTGGATAAGGAGAAATAGAGTTCCAGGGTCCCTGTAGCAGGAAAGACTGTGAGGTCTGATGTGCTTTACACACTGACAGGTAAAGGCTGCTGGGGTTAGCCAGGCTGGCAGGTGGGGATGGAGCTGTGAGAGGAAGGCAAGAGGGAGACTGTAGGATTACTTCCTGTCTGGTAGTTGCCCTAAGAATTCATTTTCCTTACACTATTTGTTTCCTTTTCATGGGAAATCAATAGGAATTTACAAGTATCAAAGGAGGCAGGGACCAACTATTCTTTTCATCTGAAATTGCTAAAGGGGCTTCCATCCTTTCCACTTATTTTTTCACTATCTAGATGAATGATTGCCTTTGTAGGTCACAGAAGGGGGTGTTTGAAACCAAGGTACGAGGTTGGCAAGTGACTGGGATACACTGACGTCCAATTGTTCCAATATTCATCTGGGTTTTGGTCTCAGGGTAGATGAGACTTAAGGGAGTCAAGGATTGTTTCCAACCCTGAAGTGCTGATCTGACCCCTTCTCCTTCTAGGAAGTGGATATTGTGGTGGCTCCGTGCCCCAGCCACCGGTCTGCAGTAGATGTTCTGGGTGACTTGGCAAATGATTCCTTGCCTGTGATAACCTATGCACTTCACAAAGATGAACTCTCTGAGAGGGATGAGCAAGAGCTTCAGGAAATCAGAAAGTATTTCTCCTTTCCCGTGTTCTTTTTCAAAGCACCCAAGCTGGAGATAATGGACTCCTCTGGAGGGAGAGCAGAGAGTGAAAGATCACCACTCTATCGACAGCTAATGGACCTGGGCTATCTGAGCGGCAGTCACAGGAACTGTGTAGCCCCTGACCAGGACAGCAGAGCTCAGAGCATGTTGGTGGAGCAAGGTGAGATGCTGAGGCATTTGAGTACATTTTCTCACCAACTGCTACAGACCCGCCTAGTGGATGCAGCCAAGGCCCTGAATGTGGTGCACTGCCGCTGCCTTGACATCTTCATTAACCAGGCTTTTGATATGCAGCGGGACCTGCAGATCACTCCCAAACGTCTAGAATATACTAGAAAAAAGGAGAATGAATTGTACGAATCATTGATGAACATTGCCAACCGAAAGCAGGAGGAAATGAAGGATATGATTGTTGAGACACTTAACACCATGAAAGAGGAACTTCTGGATGATGCTGCCAACATGGAGTTTAAAGGTAGGCTCTAGACCTTAGTGGGGTGCTGGGACTGCAGAGACCTCTGATTCTTTGGGCTGGAAGCTGAATACCCTGATTCTTAAGGTTCAGCAAGAGGGCAACTGTCATAGGGTTTCTATTGCTGTGAAGAGACATCATGACCACAGCAACTCTTATAAGGAGAACATTTAATTGGGGCTGGCTTACTGTTTCAATTAGTCCATTATCATCATGGTGGGACACAGTGGCATACAGGCAGACATGGTATTGGAGGAGGAGCTGAAAGTTCCACATCTTTTTTTTTTTTTTTTTTTTTTTTTGGTTTTCCCGAGACAGGGTTTCTCTGTATCGTTTTGGAGGCTATCGGTCCAGCCTGGCCTTGAACTCACAGAGATCCGCCTGCCTCTGCCTCCCGAGTGCTGGGATTAAAGGCGTGCGCCACCACCGCCCGGCGAAAGTTCCACATCTTAATCTGCAGGCAGTGTCCACACTGAGTGTAGCTTGAGCATGGAAGCCCTCAAAGACCAGACCCCAACAGTGACACACTTCCTCCAAGAAGGTCACACCTACTCCAAGAAGGTCACACCTCCTATAGTGCGACTTCCTAAGAGCTTATGGGGACCAATTGCATTCAAACTACCACAGCACCTTAATCATTTCGATGAGGTGGTCTCTTTTGCTTTCATGGACTTAAGATTCACTTTCATTCCTTCCCAAGCCTTGAGCTTAGCTGTTCATAAGTTCATCCTTAGCACTCTCCAATCTCTATCTTCTGTCTGCATCCCTGCACTCCTAAGAAGAGCATCTTAAAGAGCTTACTATGTTGCCCTTTCACCTTTGCTCTGTCAGCATGGCCCAACTCCTTCACTGGGTTGCTTTTTGTCCCATGGTCTGTTTTATCTTCAGGCTGCTCCTGAAGCTCAACACAGGAAAATTTCCCAAAGCATGTTTAGCTTTTCTGACAGTCTCTCGTTTATCACAAACGACTATTAACAAAACTGGGGAAAGCCATCAGTCAGGGCTTTTGGTGTCTGACCTTTATGCTAACAACTGTTTGAATGTCCATGCATGAGCATTAGCTCTACTGCACAGAGATTAAAATGGCACTGTTTTAGGTTACTCCTTAGGTTTTCAATCATGAGTATGCATGCACATCATCTCAGGGGGTGCTAAAACCATGAAAGGTCACTTTAGACTTTGTCAGTGATGTGTTTGTCAGCACTTTCACTAGGTAGATTCAGCATATTTTCATTGTTTAGATGAGGGACAAAAAGTCTTAAAGGGGTAAGCAATTTTGCCAATGGTCCTACAACTAGTAAATAATAGAGGCAGAATATGAACTGAGATAGTCCAATTCTTGTGTGTGTGTATGTGTGTGTGTGTGTGTGTATGTGTGTGTGTGTGTGAACATGGTATCACTGTATGGCTCTGGATGTCCTGTAACTCACTATGTAGACAAGGTTGACCTCAAACTAACAAAGATCTACCTGCCTTGGCTTCTTGAGTACTGAGATTTAAGGAATACAACACCACACCCAGTCCTTGAACCCATAGTTTATAGTTCACTGCTTTACTACTTAAACCAGGTGTTCTCAACATGTGGGTTGTGACCCCTTTGGGGATTGAATGACCCTTTCACAGGGGTCACATATCAGATATCCTGCATATCAGAAACTTACATTACAATTCATAACAGTAGCAAAATTACAATTATGAAGTAGCAATGAAATAATTCTATAGTTGGGGGTCACCACAACATGAAATGTACTAAAGGGTTGCAATATTGGAAAGATTGAGAACCTCGGGCTTAAACTGTTCTAAGTTACTTATGGCCCCTTCTTTTTGGTACCCAGCTTCAGAGGCTCAACATACCCTGTATTGTCTTTTCTCCTGAATTCTCTTGTTTAACAAGTTGCCAAGGACCCATGAGTTCATAGTGATTTTATGTCTATGCATGCTTTGTTTTTCTGTATATTTTTTGAGACAGGATTTCACTGTGTAGCCTGGGCTGGTTTTGAACTTAGAATCCTCTTGCCTCAGCCTCTTTAAGTATGTTGGGATATAAGCATTCAGAACACTCCTGGTTCTATTCTGTCTTCTTTAATCTGTCTGAAGTATTTTTACCTAATCAGTCTCCTTGCTTGTTCCACAGACTAGTACTGAGAACCTCGGTCTAGCCGGAGAGCTTCCAAAGCCTCTATCAACTGTGCCAACCGTATTTTCCATTCTTCACCTTCCTCTAGTTTTAACTGAGTTGGTCTTAGCTGCTTGCTGTCCTCCACACACTCCCTAGATCTTTTCTTTGCATGTGCCCTGCCTCAAATCTGAAGTTCTTTTATTTTTCTGTGAATTTTCCAAATCCTACCTACCCTCCACACGCCACTTTTTGTAAAGCTGCTAGTCCTGTCGTCTACTGTCAGCTGTGCTCCTTTTTGCCCCCACACATTTCACCTGTAACCTCTGTCGTAGTTTACTGTGTTGTACTGTACACTTGTGTGTTCTGAAATGCCAGAGTTGAAGAATATGAGTTGGAGTTATTCATCATCTTATACCTTGCAGCAAAAAACAAAGAATCACCTTTCTTTTCTTCCTCCCTCCTTCTTCTCTCTTCTCTCCTTTCTCAATAAAATGAATAGAGATATCTTTAGTGGCTGAGAAATTCTTATTTCAGGAGAAGTTCTAAGGAGTCCCTTGAACACTTCAGTAAGCACCCTGGAGTATCAGTGCTGGCATCTTACCCACATGGTGACAGCAGGCAGGGCAGCAGTTAGGTGACAGTATAATGTTGGATTATATTGTGGCAGGCATACCAAATTTGGTGCCTTTGACACAGTGTTTATCTTAAACAGATACGGGAATAACTGAAACAGGTAGATCAAATGTCTGACTCTGTATTTAGGTCTGTGGATCCATGTACTTAAATAACTACATATTAGGTACAATTTAATATCTGATCTTGCCTTGTTCTGAGTTCTTTCTGAGTAACTTTGAAGCAATAATATATTGGTTTAAAAGAGAGCTTGCACACAATCTGATTTCTATTGCTATTTGTCTTTAAATAAAGGCCATGATGTATGCTGGGTAACAGGATGTACATACTTTAGAAAATATCTATGTTTTAATCCAGGTGTGGTGGCATATGCCTGTACCCCCCCGCTCTCAGGAGACAGAGGCAGAAGAATTGTAAGTGTGAGGTCAGCCTGGGCTATGTAGGGAGTTATATGTCAAATTTTTTTCTTGTTTTATAGTAGTGGGAATTGAGCCTAGGGCCATGCATGCTAGGAAATATACCATAGAGCTGTATCCCCCCCCAATAAGATAGATGCAGATATATGATATTTAATTCAAACTTAGGTACTTTTGCATTTCCCTTCTACTTCTAATATATAGCTCAGAGAGCTGTCTGCAAATGTTCATATAGGTCTGTCTTCTAATGGACATACCTTGCATCAATTTCAGCCCATTGATAGCTATTTAGGCTCTTTTGTGGTTTCCTTTTTGCTATTACAAATGACTAAACTAATAGCATTATACATACAATCTGAGACCTGTGAGGACAGAGTTGTAGAGAAAGAATTTCCAGAAGCATAGCTATTTGGAGAGTGTATAAAGTTGTCATTGTTGGTTGGTTTAAATTTTTGATATCTGCGCCTACACAGGTGGTATCAGTGCTTGTCTGATTAATATGCCAAGCAGTGTGAAATTTAACAAAGATTCTAGATTTGGAACAAGTGAGGATTGTGCTCAAATTCTAGCTATATTGCTTCCTGACTGCCCATCTTCTCTCCCAGTGCCCACTCTGTCTTATCCCTGAGGCTGTTTCCTGATCTGCAGAATATATCCATTAATATCTACCAACAAAGGTACTGTGAAGATGACGTTAGATTACCTATATATGGTGCTTACTACTGTGCCTTTCAAATAGTTTCCACTGAGTGAATGGTGTTTTTCTCTTCCTGAAACCTAAAAGGTACTAAAACCAACAGACTTGTTTTAGATATAACTGTTCATTTTCAGAATCTTATTTAACGTAAGTGACTGAGCATCGCCTGGCTCTGATCATACTAAGAATCAGAATTTGACAACCAACCATATCTTTTCATAGCCACCATCATGGTAATTCACTGGTGATGACTTGGGAGATGCCTGTATTTACTATGTCTGTACCTTTCCTTCATTGCTAACTAGTGTAGTCTCTGCCTCTGTAGATGTCATTGTCCCGGAGAATGGAGAAACAGTGGGCACCAGAGAGATCAAATGCTGCATCCGACAGATCCAAGAGCTTATCATCGCCAGGCTCAATCAGGCAGTGGCCAACAAGCTGATTAGCTCAGTGGATTACCTACGAGAAAGCTTTGTTGGGACCCTGGAACGGTGTCTGCAGAGCCTTGAAAAATCACAGGATGTCTCAGTTCATATTACCAGCAATTATCTCAAACAGGTATAAAAAGAATGGTTGCTAAGACAACACGTTACAGATAACATCTAGAATAATTCACACATAAGCCCAACCTCAAATTAGTCAAGGATTTCCCTTTGAAACAATCTAGTTGAAATTTTATTTTTTTTCCTACTACATGACTACTGCCTAGGAGAGATGCTGATGAGTTGTAAAATTACAGTTGATAAAAATAAGTAGAAAGTAAAAGAACCTAATTAGTCACAAAATAGGGGTGATGAACTTGAGTTGACTCTATATATCGAGGGTTAGATTTTCAAACCTTCAGACTGGACTGTAATTTTTTGTGTGGGGGGAGCATGCAGAACGTAGGAGGGGGCACATGTAGCTAAGACTGGCCTGGCCTTGAACTTTTGGTCAAGGCTGGTCTTGAACTCCTCATTCTCTTGTCTCTACCTCCGAAGTGCCAGGATTACAGACATGAGCTGTGTCTGGCCCAACTATGCTTTTTTTTGTTTTTTGTTTTGTTTTGTTTGTGTGTGTGCGTGTGTGTGTGTGTGTGTGTGAGAGAGAGAGAGAGAGAGAGAGAGAGAGAGAGAGAGGGTCTTTCACTCTGTAGACCTGGCTGGCTGAGAACTTACTATGTAGAACAGGTGGTCTCAGAGAGACCTGCCTTCCTCTTCCTCCTAAGAACAGGGATTAAAGGTGTATACCAGTGCACCTAACTTGGACTTGTTCTTGAAGTCGTTCAGAAATGACTATCTGCATATGCTCCTTCACGTGTTCTCTTTCAGATCTTAAATGCCGCTTACCATGTTGAAGTCACATTTCACTCTGGGTCCTCAGTTACAAGGATGCTTTGGGAACAAATCAAGCAGGTGAGTGTTCCTCAGAGAAGGGCTCCCTTGTATCTTAGACTCCAACAGATCACATTTTTGGAACATGCTGTTAAAGTAGGGTGGCCATTATTCTGATTTGCCTCTCTGAGAGAATTCTGTTGTATGGCTGTTCTCAATTAATGACTACCAATGTTCCCTTTAACCTTAAAAAAACCATAGATTTGTGTAATGCTTGATGAAGCCACAAAATTCCACCTCACTAGTTTCTTCATCTTTTCCTTTATTTAGCCTAAATGTTTTCTTAAAAGTAGATATTGTTGGGTCTGGGGATATAGCTTGGTGGTAGATGATTTGCCTAACATATGCAAGGTCATAGGTTTGATTCCCCGGTACCAAAGGAATAAACAAGTAAACAAACAACAAAAATCTAGACATTGAGTTGGTTATGTTGACACATGTATTTATTTCCAGCATTGAGGAGGTAGAGGCAAGCAGATCTCTGTGAGTTCAAGACCAGCCTGGGTCTACATAGGATAGCAAGTGCTGTGTAAACAGACCCTGTCTCAAACAAAACAAGCACATACAAAAAAACAGGCATTGTTGCCAGGGGCCAAAAGTGTGGTTCCTGCGGGCTGGAGAGGTGGCTCAGATGTTAATAGCACTGGCTGATCTTCCAGAGGTCCTGAGTTCAATTCCCAGCAACCACATGGTGGCTCACAACCATCTGTAATGAGATTTGGGGCCCTCTTCAGGTCTGCAGGCACACATGCAGGCAGAATACTGTACACATAATAAATAAATAAATCTTAAAAAAAAAAGTGTGGTTCCTATCCTGGATTTGCATCTATGTAGAGTTCTTACTGCTTCAGGAGAGTTATCTGGCCCTGACTATAACATGCTGAGGGGTGTGAGCATTTAGATTAGACTTACTATTCTTTGGTGCTTCTCCTGGCTGAACCATGGTTTTGAGGTAGATGGAGATAGAGATAATGTTGGATTTCATAGTCTCCTACATTAAGAGCTGTTCCTGATGAGTAGAACCCCGTGAAGGAAGGGCATTGTGGGAGCTGCCTGAGAGTTCCTCCTCCTTCCTTCAATGATTTTTCTGTCCTCATCTTGGCAGATCATCCAGCGTATCACATGGGTGAGCCCACCCACCATCACTCTAGAGTGGAAGAGGAAGGTGGCCCAGGAAGCCATCGAGAGCCTCAGCGCCTCCAAGTTGGCCAAGAGCATTTGCAGCCAGTTTCGCACTCGGCTCAATAGTTCTCATGAGGCTTTTGCAGCCTCCTTGAGGCAGGTTGGTATGCAGGGAAGGAGTGAAAGCTGGAATAAGCAGAGAAGAGCCTCATTTAGAGGGAAATTATTTGCTCTCTGCTATCCTTATACTTTTAAAAAATCAGTATATTTTATAGTCTGTTAAAGAATAATATGTTACAGGAAGGTTCATCACCAAATTTTTCATGTGGATCTTTTTATAACTCTAGGAAAGGTAGAGTGAGTACAGTTAATTTCTTCCCATATAACTGAATGAAAAAAGAGTATAGAGGAGTGTATACTTTATATAAGTTTATATCATATTTTAAGAATGACAGAGGAATGACTTTCTAACTTAATACAATTATGTGCTCCCCCAGGAGTGAGTGAGTGTATGTGTGTGTGTGTGTGTGTGTGTGTGTGTGTGTGTGTGTGTGTGTGTGTGAGAGAGAGAGAGAGAATATGGATAGATGTGACTATGCATCCAAGAGGATAATGACTATTGACTGCTCACTGACATTGTATTAAATATGTCATATACATGCTGTGCAGTTCTCACAGTTGTTGGCATGAAAGAGATACTATTATTTCTGTGCATCAGATGGAGACACTAAGGTGAGGGACTTGATTCTTATGTTGTCTTTTTCTGTTTCCCTCCTAGCTGGAAGCTGGTCACTCTGGCCGGCTGGAGAAAACTGAAGATCTGTGGCTAAAGGTTCGAAAAGATCATGCCCCTCGTCTGGCCCGCCTTTCACTAGAGAGCCGGTCTTTACAGGATGTCTTGCTTCACCGTGAGTCCTTATTTCTTTCCAAATAAACTGAAGGAAATGCAGGGTCTTCTAGTATTCTTTTGCCTGGCCTCCAAGAATCCCCACATTGCTGCCTCAGCACTTAGTGATGCTCCTGAATTCCTGTTTGGTTCTGCTGCTTATGTAATATGAATAACAAGATCAAAGTTTATTCAAAATCATCCAGCTCAGTTACTTTCTACTGGGTTAGAACAACACTTGAGTTTCTTTCCATTGCATGATTACAACTTCTGGCCTCTAGGCAGGTCTGCATCTAAGAATCTTAAAGAAAATGTCATTCTGCCTGCCTCATTGTTGTCTTTATATCTTATAGGTAAGCCTAAATTAGGACAGGAACTAGGCCGGGGCCAATATGGTGTGGTGTACCTGTGTGACAACTGGGGGGGACACTTTCCTTGTGCCCTCAAGTCAGTTGTTCCTCCAGATGAGAAGCACTGGAATGACCTGGCATTGGAGTTTCACTACATGAGGTAGGTCTTGGTTTCTTTAATCTCTCTGGGGATTAGTTTTGTACCATGGGCTACAGCATGTATTGTCTCTATATTCCTAGATTTCAAAATGTTTTAACTAATGTTTGTAGTTTTAGGTCACATATGTTAGCTTTGCTCAGTCTTTTCCCAACATAGTTTCTCAACTCTTCATTCTGTTATCTTCTTAGTCACTAAGACTGTCAGTATGGTTTTTAACCTTGGTGAAGTAGTTCTCTTTTCCCTCTGTCTGCACTTGGACTAAATGTAGCTATGAGGGTCTTTCTCCCTATGTCCTGGCATCTCATGCAGAATTAGAGCCGGAGTATGGTGGCCCAAACCTTTCTCTTTCTCACAGGTCTTTGCCAAAGCACGAGCGATTGGTTGATCTTCACGGTTCAGTCATTGATTACAACTATGGTGGTGGCTCCAGCATTGCTGTACTGCTTATTATGGAGCGGCTGCACCGGGACCTCTACACAGGGCTGAAGGTGAGTGAGGCAGCCAGGGACAAGAGCCAGCCAGGAGCCAGGCTCAACCTGTCCTTCCTGCACTTCATCCCTTCCTGTTTATTCTTAACTTCTCACTTTCATAGACATTGATGGAGTAATCTGGCTTTACTGAATTATTTCCAGAAAAATGTCAGACATTTCTCAGAATCCATTTTTGTCCTAGTATATTTCTGTAATGTGTTTACGTATTACTTTTAAAATTGTTTTTATTTGCTTGTTTGTTTTTTGAGACAGGGTCTAACATGTAGCACTGGCTGTCCTGAAAGTCTGCTATGTAGATTAGGCTGGTCTCTAACTCACAAGAGATCCAGATGCCTCTGCCTCCAGAGTGCTAGGATTAAAGGTGGCAAGCCCAGCTTATTTACCATTTTGATGTCCTCTGGTGAGATGAAAATCTATATTCTTTAGAAGAGAGAATAGCTTCTGGTTAGTCTTCTGGATAAAGCCAATTTTTGTTAAGTGAACAAGTTTTTATTAGTGACTATTTTGTGCAAGACTGTGTGTTAAGCACCATTAGATAATAGCAAAATGTGTAATTTCCAGACACATTTAAGAAAATTGTAGTCAGTGAAAAAGATGTGGGGTGGGGGTAACCACAAAGTCACTTGTAAGATCTTGTTATGTGATCTTGAGTTTTAAAAAATAAATTGGGATGTGCCGCTAAAGAATTGCATTTGAGTAAAGGTGAAACTCTCAGTTGAATTCTGAGTTTAAACTCTTATCTAAAAATCACCAGCAAGGAAGTTAGGTTTCTTTTCTGTCCCCTACATTTGCTGAGAAGGGGAGAGAAGCTGACCTAAGAGTGTCTGGATCCCTCTATATGAGCTTACTTGGAGACTTTCAGAAGTAAGGTAGAGGAAACTTAAGAAATTGGTGAGATGGAGAAGAGACTCCAAGTAGTTCCCTCTCTATCTCAGGAGCACCTAGAATGTCCATTTGAGGACCTTAGAGGAAATTAAGTTTTGGAGGAAATTAATAGGACAGTTTTCAGAATCCTAAAGAGTCTTAAGTTAAAGTAATCATGGTGACTTTGGAATGGAACCCATAAAATCAAACCTGGGCTAACCAAGCCTGTGAAAGCAAATCTTCTGTGTGGCAGTGCCAGAGTCTTTCTGATGCTGGGAGTGAGATGCTGTTAGCCCTTGAACCTCTTGTGTTCCAATCTGGGTGTGGTCCTGCTGACTAACTGCAGCTTGCAAAGGGCTATTTTGCTTTGTGTCCTGTACAGCTTGTTCTTCCCTGTACCTCCCACTGTTCTGCCCTTTTCCACCAGAAGTCATTTAGTTGCAATTGGAAGTCTCAGTTGGGTTAAGGAGTTGGGCTCTTCTAACAACTAGGCTCTTTTGCCTTCCCAGGCTGGGCTGACCCTGGAGACACGTTTGCAGATAGCCCTGGATGTGGTGGAGGGAATCCGCTTTCTGCACAGCCAGGGGCTTGTCCATAGGGATATCAAACTGAAAAACGTGCTGGTAAGTAACAGCTCTATTCAGAGGGGATCCCTGCCTCTGTGGAGGGTCTGTTAATACGCACTTTGATTCTAGGAAAAGTCTATATGGAATGCAGGAGTGTTAACACCGTGGTGGGTGGATGGGGTTCTGAGTGTAAGCTTAAGGAGCAATTTCAACAGACTACCTGTGTCAAATACTTTTCCCTTCACTATTGAGAAATTTCAATTTCATGGAATAGTTAAGAGTGGAATAATGGAAACTCAGATACCCTTGTATCCTGTGTTCCTGCCAGGGTGCCCACTCACAGTCATATTTTCTGTTTCTCATCCTGTACCATATGAAGGTAAGTTGCTGATAATTCTTCACTCTGAAATATGTCAGTGTGTTTCTCCTAAGAAAGAAGAATCTTCTACATAATTAAAATGCTATTACCACACTCAAGAAATCTAACATTGATACGGTACTCTGTTTTGGCTCCATCATTATATCCAATTGTTCCAAATATGGTCTGTTTGCTGTTTTGTTTTTTGTCTAGGATCTAATCCAAGGATGCTACAGTATATCTTGTTATCATGCTATTTCAGCCTTCTTTAATCTAGAATAATCTTTTCTCTTTTTTGTTTTTATGTCATTGGTATTTTGAGGAGTCCAGGTCTTTGTTAATGTGTAGGGCTTGATCAGTGATGCAAGGTGAGTGCTAACATGCATAATGCACCTTAAAGGTCATATTGCATAAGCCATAAAGGATCTTTTGACAGACTCCTTGAAAACATCTATTAGGGTCACTGAGCTGGCTCAACAAGCTGTGGTACCTTTTATTACACAGAAGGAGAAAAGAGACTCCTACAACTTGTCCTTGGCTTTTACACACATTAAGTAAATAAATAAAAGGTAATAATTTAGGAAAAATGCCTTCCAGTATCACATGGCAACACCCCATCAAGTTGCAGTTTAGGGGAGAGAAAGATAACCTGAAAATTATAGATAGAAATCTAAGAGACAATCAGTAGCCAGATGAGACACATTTATTCTCTAGAATTGATTTTTGCTTATTTGTTTTTGTATCGTTGTTGTTCTTTCTACTGTGCTGGGGTAGAGCTAGGGTCTGTGCATGCTGGTTCAGGTCTCTGTCATAGAGCTACAACCAACCCTGTATTTGAGCTTTAAGAATTAAAGAATTGCTTCAGCTGACTAAGGGAAATCAGGTGCCAACATGTTTTCCTCATGTTAGACCTTCATTACTCATTCTTCCAAGATTATAGTGGACCTAGTATGTTCCAGGGATATAAAGATGAAAGAAACAGTCACTGACACCAGGTTGCTCACAATGGGAAGAGGATGGTGACAGGAACGAGTCTGAGATAGTGAGGTTGAAGGAAGGACTTACTAAGTACTGCCTTGAGGCTGGGTGTGTGGACATGAGGTGACTCCGACTTGCTATTTTTGACAGCTGGACAAACAAAACCGTGCCAAGATCACTGACTTGGGATTCTGCAAGCCAGAAGCAATGATGTCAGGCAGCATTGTTGGGACACCAATCCATATGGCCCCTGAACTTTTCACAGGTAAGACTAGAGGGCAAAGAGTGAGTTTAGGCAGACCTCAGTACTCAGCCTTGGGGTGCTTCCCCTCGGAGTAAGTAGTGTAAGGACTGCTTGCAGGTGTGACACGGACAGTGAAGAAAGCAGAAGAGAGGGAGAGTAAGGAGGTAAAGAAGTGAGAAAGAAAGTATAAATGTGAACCGAGGTTGCCAAGTACTCTTTTGGATGTGTCTCTGGGCTGTTAGATACTTAGCACTTACTTAGTCATAAAGTATTGGTTGAATAACTTGTAAATGATGGGATCTGTCATTAAAGAACTTATCATCAATGTGGAGATATACTGAGAGAGGTAAAATAATTTGGAAGCAGTGTAAGGCAGCATTAAACGCTAAATTATAGGTGCTACAATGTTCTGTTGATGCAGAGTGTAAAAACAAATCAAGGTTAATGTTGCATGGTCTTAGGAGATCTGGGGTAAATTTGAGTCCTCTGGAAAACCTGGCAGTGGAAAGGGAGCTCGGGTTTGAGTGTACACTTTGCAGTAGGCATGTCAGGTGTGTTTCTGGATATCTTGTTTTACTTAATCCTTTCAGCAAGCCTGTGATGATATCAGAGTCATAGATTAAATCGGGACTGTATTGATGAAGTAACTGACCCCCTAAACACTGAGGCAGAAGGCAATGAACTGTGATTTGAATCGAGGCCTTTCTGTCTGCACAGTCCAGTCATAAGGGCAGAAACATCTGGATGCTGAATAAGGGGAAATACCAAGGGAAACTGCAAAACAGAAATGGTCATGACAGGAAAGAAATCCACTTGGAAAATCAGTGATAGAAAAGGCCAGGGAAGTCTGTAGACTGAGAACCATGGGGAGGTTAGGGTCTTGTGTAAGTAAGGAAGTGCTGAGCTCTTGAGCAGGGGAGGATGGCAAAGAACATGTGCCTGGACCAGCTTCACAACCATTGGTAGGGGGATGCTAGGGAGAAGAATCAATGTGAGGTGACCAGTTAGGTTGTGCCCATGGTTAGGTTGGTACTGATGCAGAAATAAATAAGGTTACAGATTTGAGATAAATTCAGAGGACAGTGGGAAAGCTTTTTACTGCCTTGATATGAGTGCTGAGTAGAAAAGAATGGCTGGCATGGAAGACTGAAACTCTGAGCCACAGTGGATGGAGAATGATGGCACTGTGCCAAGGAAGATGGGAAAGAAACCACAGGTCACTCGCTAGTGTTGGTAGGAGGAAACATTAGCAAAATTAGCAATGCATTCCAATTTCTTTTTTAAGATTTATGTACATGAATATTTTGCCTGCATGCATGTATGTGTACCATGAGTATGCCTGTTTCTCAAGGAGGTCAAAAGAGGTTGTTGAATCCCCTGAGCTGGAATTACAGATGTCTGTGAGCACAAAGTGCTCTAAACCACTGAGCTCTCTCTCCAGCCCCTGAATTTTACTCATTTCGTGGAGGTGGTCACCTGCCTCTTCACTAGGTGATATACTGAGGGACTAGGAATTAGTAAGCAGCTGTAGTCTGATGCTCACTGAAGCCAAATAATAGACCTCTCTTCCTAGTTTTACTTTGTTCTGTTCCTAATGCTGTTACTCCACCTTGCCTGGGGCTTATTTAAACTCCTTTTATTGTGTCTACCCCATTGCTGTCAGAAGGCTATTTTAAAATGTTCTTTTGGCCGGGCGTTGGTGGCGCACGCCTTTAATCCCAGCACTTGGGAGGCAGAGGCAGGCGGATTTCTGAATTCGAGGCCAGCCTGGTCTACAGAGTGAGTTCCAGGACAGCCTCCAAAACAATACAGAGAAACCCTGTCTCGAAAAACCAAAAATAATGTTCTTTTGTATCCCTGCTCTACAAAAAAAAGACCTTCTGCTGCCCATCAACTCTAGACTCCTCTCTGCCCTTAAAGTCTTTCTATGAGAGATGAGGTCTTCCTATGTATCCTAGACATCCTTCAAATGATCCTTCTGCCTCAGTCCTTTGAGTGCTGGCATTACAGGTGGGCATTGCACCTGCTAATCTTGTCTTTATAATCTTTATTGTCTGGTTCCTACTGATATTTCTCTAATATGGCCTTTTAGAATTGATCTTGCAGACTGTCCCATTAAAATGATAAAATGATTTTCGTTCTCTTTTGGCAAATTTTCATCTCTCTGTCTTAGCATCTAGATTTCTGTATTGTAAATGGGGATTACAAATGTGCCTTGCCTACCAGGCAAATTGTGAAGAACAATAGATAGTAAAAACTTTAAAATCATATAAGGACTGTAAAGGCAAGGAGGGGGCTCACTGATGCTCGTCTGTCTTTTTTTTTTAATTTTATTTTCCAGTTTAAATTTACATAAGAAACAAGGTTGCTTCACAAGCCAGTTCCAGGTCCCTCTCCCATTCCCTCCCTTCCTCCCGTGCCCTCCCCCCCCGCCCCCCCCCCGTTATCCCCTCATTTCTCCAGGGAGGGTGAGGCCCTCCATGGGGGTGTGCATAGTGTGTCATTTCATATAGGGCAGGGCCTAGACCCTTCCCCAAGAGTTCAGGGTGAGAGTGCACCTCACATTGTTCTATGGGAGTCCAAAGTCCGTGTGTATACTTGGGATGGGTACTGATCTGCTGCCCAAGGCTCAATAGATTACCTAGGCCTCCTCACTGACACCCACATTCAGGGGGTCTTGATCAGTCCCATGCTGGATTCCCAGGCTGATGCCTGGGATTCAAGAGTTAACCTTTGTCTGGTCAGCTGTTTCTGGGGGTTAAACCAGCCCAGTCTTAATCCCTTTGATCATCAGTCCTCTCTCTCTGTTACTGGCTTTCTTGAGTTCAGCTCAGTACTTAACCAAGGGAGTCTGCCTCTTCTTCGATCAGCCACTAAATAAAGTTTCTGTTTCCCAGACTCTCTGGCCATAGGATTGTAGGCTGGCACTCCCCAGATCTATGTCTAAAATCCATATATGAGAGAGTACATGCACTGATGCTCGTCTGTCTTTACCCTAGGGAAGTATGATAATTCCGTGGATGTCTATGCCTTTGGGATCCTTTTCTGGTATATCTGCTCGGGCTCTATCAAGCTCCCCGAGGCATTTGAGAGGTGTGCTAGCAAAGATCATCTCTGGAACAATGTGCGAAGAGGTAAGAGCCACCAACCTGCTTTGCTTTAACTCCCTCACTGAAAGCAGACAGCCGGACGTCACAGCAGGGTTCCCTTATGTCCTGGCCACTGCACAGCATGACCATGCTAAGCAGACCATCATAGAAAGCAAAAAGGATACTGCAGACCAGTTCTTTGCTACTGGATAGCACTATGTTGAATTACCTCAAAAATGGTTTTTGCTACAATTTTTAGTGTTGGGTTTTCTAAGCCAGTGTGTTGGTTTTCACATTTCTGTTAGGTTATAGTCTAGTTATCTGCAGTGGAAACCCAAATGCTTTGCTCTCCCAGCTCTCCTTGATTGGCTGTATTTCCTTGCTCTCCTCTAGGGACCCGTCCAGAGCGTCTTCCTGTGTTTGATGAGGAGTGCTGGCAGTTGATGGAAGCATGTTGGGATGGTGACCCCTCTAAGAGGCCTCTCCTGGGCATTGTCCAGCCTATGCTCCAAGGCATTATGGACCGGCTTTGCAAGTGCAATTCTGAGCGACCAAACAGAGGACTAGATGATTCTACTTGAAGACAAAACCTTTCTCTTTCACTCTGTTCCTTCCCTGTTACCTTTTGGCCATGAGGAGAATTTGTCATTTGTTCATTGATGGAGCTCCCAAGGGAGCTTGTTTGCTTGTTTGCAACTCAAGACCTTCCTGGGCAGAGATGGCTCCTGGACAGTGAAGAATTCAGTGGCTGTTTTAGTGTTCATATTGCCTCATACTATCTCTTTAGCAAAAGATTGTCTCAGATGTGTAGAAGCTGAATAATGTGATGTTCTGGCCTCAGAACTGAAAAGGAGGCAACTGTTACCACTGTCTATTCACTGTATATGTTTCTAAAACAAGTGGGACACTGCAGTGCAGGGGTATAAAACTATCATTTTCATGACTTCAGCTTTAGCTGGGAACAGTTCAGTTCTATCCAATGGTAGAGACCACTTAGAAAACATGATCTTAGTTCAGGTTCATATGATTGTAATGGCAAAAAACAAACCAATCCAGCCAAATATACCTTGTGGTTGTCTGGTTCTTGTTCTCTGTAACCAGGATCTCAGGTTGTAAGTCAGAAACCCCAGGAGGCAGCTGGGTGTGAAGCTGTCTGCCCTCACAACCCAGTGTTTACATTTCCAGGGCCAGAGAGCCCTGGTTTCTGCAGGGCAAGGCTAACCCAGAACAGAATTTGTTTGATTCCTGGGTCTTTCCCCACCTCCTACCCTTCTTTTCCCTTAAAAAGGAGGTGATCCTCCAGGTAGCATGGTACTTGGACTTCAGCATCTTATCAGACAGAGATAGACTACAATTTTGTTTTTTTAAATGGGATATAGCCCAGGCTGGCCTTAAAATCCCATCCTTCTGCTTAGCCTCCAAAGTGCCGAGATTACAGGCATGTGCTACCATGCCCAGCTTTTAACTATGTAACTCACTCTTCTATTTCCTTCTCCAGTGCTAGGGATCAATCCACAGCCTCAGAACTGCTGGTAAGTGCTCTCTGGTGAGCTACACTCCAGTTTCATAGAGCTTTCAAAGTTCACATTTAATACTCAGCATGGTGACCTCTGATGATGATGCGGTTGGGCATAATGGTCTCCTAAGTACTCAGAATTCCATGCAGTGCTCTACATGCAAATTGTAATGGACAAGTGAGCCCAGTGTCTTTGGGCTCGTTGGCTCTGGTCTCATTTTGGTAGAATGCTTAGTTTCGCTCTTAGAATTTTAATATCTACTCAATTATATTTAGTTACTCTGCCCTGAGCATTACATTGTTATCCTCTGGAGACAGTAGGATGTACAGGAAGCCAGGTGTCAAGAAAGAAAAAAATGAGTCATCTCTATTAGTTAGATCTGTTGTGTGTGAAACTTGAAGAGGTCTTGTGTAGTGGGGAGACTACTGACCCTTGTTCTTGAACTCTAACTGTAACACAGAGGCTGCAGTTCCAGTACGGAAACTATATTACTAACGTTTGTAGCATGTCTTAGCTCCTCAGACTCATGAATGGGAGGTCAGATTTTTTTCCCCATCCAGAGTCCGGTTTCAGTCTTCTGCCAGATTACAGATTCAGTTTTTCAGTCTTTAATATTTAAAAAGAAGTTTCCCTCCATTTTTCTGTCCAGTGGGAGGGAGAGGCTAATGCTAAGTGAGGATATAAGGAGTAGTTTTGTAGTTCATTCATTAAAAAATATCTGAAAATGTCCAAGATATTACTGAAAGTGTCTGGGCAAGCCAAAGGCCACATAGGGGTATTTGATGGTGGTATTTCAATGCTCAGCAGGCTGAGTATGTGAACACTTGTATCTAATTTGTATGTATTTTACTTTATAACATTGTAAGCTAATTTTGAATTCTTTGGTTTTTTGGCATCTATTATTATTTCAGTGATAAAATGCCATGAAATGTACTGTATTGTATGTCACTTGGGAAGACACTAGGTCCTCAGAGAAGTGTGGTGGCACTTAGGAAGTACAGGGCTCAACAGGGCCAAAGTTTTGAAGATTTACCTCCAGGCTGAGGGAAAAAGAAGGGTGGCATCCTTTACTGTGTGCTATCCTTCAAAAAATTCCCATAAGGGCAGTTACTCTAGCCCGGAAGTGACCACCTGACTGCTTCTTAGGAGCTGAAAGTCTGCTTGTTCATTTGGTTTGGAATGGAGTGACAGGCCTTCCTGCAGAGCAATCAGAAGAAATGCTGGCAGTCTGGCCTCTGCATGGCCCACCTGTGCCTTGAGCTAGCAGTGGCACAGCTGAGTGGCTTCATGACTAGGCAGTCTTTCTGCTCTCAGAAAGGACTACCCTGGTTGTTCCTAGACCAAAGAGAGTCACTTCTGACTCCATCCACTTTAAGGGACAGGGCTAGGCAGTCACTGAGTCAAAATGGTAACACTAAAGCTCAAGGAAACCAAGAAAAGGACTCATTACTACACAGCTAGAGCCAGACAATGGTGAGCTCTGAACACGCGTCAGTTCCCCAAGTGCATTTTGTATTTTCGCTTGAGCTGTCATCATAGATAGAACACTCAGGGTGTGTGTAGTTCAGTGGTAGAATGTGCTTAGTGTGCACATGGCCTGGGGTTCTAGGAACAAAACAAAACAAAACACAAAGGTCAAAGGGGTTGGAGAATGTTCTTCCTGACAGAAGTGGCCTGGGGTAGTGGGGCTGTAAAGTGACAACTGCACTAAATGACACTTTATTTTTGTTGTTGTTGTTGTCTTATTTAGCACTGAGAAGCCCAGGGGATGGGTCAGTACAGTCACACTTAGGGAAACTTGAGGCACCCTTCGGTCTTGCTCTGGAGAGATGCCCTGCTTTTTTGATGTAGCTTACAGGGAGATCTCCCAAGCCTGTGTTGTGTTGGGGTGGATTAACAGCCTTGGAAAGTGCATTCCAAAGGAGGAGCTGCTTTAAGTGTTCAGGACTTGCATTTTGCATTTGTTGAGTCTCAAAGTCCACATTTTCCTTAAAATGAGGGTTTAGTCTTAAGTGTTGGGATATGTGACGTAGAGCTAGTGTGATAGGAGAGTGGCCTTAAGACACTGGTACTGCAAACTCCCCTAGAAGTTTCAAGTGGTACTGGTGCTCTTAAAAGTTTTAACTTCATGTGTTTTACTAGAACCTAGTGTGATTGACATAGTGGTGGAGGCTGTGAACACCTGACATTGGGGAGGCCAATTAGCCTAGAGGGTTGACAAGACACTTGGTCTGGATGGCTTGCTTGTTTTTTATTTTTGTCTTTATGTAATGTTTTTATTTGTTTTAAAAGACTAATGTTTATTACAGTATTATATAAAAGTGTAACATACTAAGTGTGTAGAATAAAGTGCAATAACACAAAATTACTTTGACACAGATTTCAGCCTCTGTGTCCTCCTTCCTTGTGCAGTGCGGCTCTTTTGGTGGCATTGTTACAGTGGGACCATTTTCCTTGTGTGTATTTTTCTCCATTTAGTGAAATCTGGATGGCAGCCTGGGTTCTGTGGAGTCCTCCACCAGCTGTTAAGTGTGGAGACCAGGTGTGCTGCATCAAGAGCACATTTATGTCCGGGGTAACCTACTTGGTTGCAGCTTTTCTTCTCTTCCCTTCACACAGTCACAGGATGCTCCCAGGCCCTGCTTCCCTCCACGACCTCTTGTCCTTCCAGTCTGGGAGATTGCTGAAACTCCCAGCTCTTCAGCTTTGTTTACTGAACATGCTTCTCTCTCTGAGCCGGTTCCACTCCCTGTTAGCAGCTGGCCTTGGCAGCTGTCCCACAGCTCTGGCATCTCCAGTATCTTAGAGTCTTCAACACAATCCAGCTTTTACCTCACAGTTTCACATAGTGACCTCTGGGTCTTCATGCAGGGACGCCCGACACACACTGGCTTCATTCAGCAGCTTTCCTTAGCTGTGGAGGGAGAATCCACAATCCCTTTCTTCTATCTTTGACTCTAAAGCCAGAACCACATGGCTGGCTGAAGCTGCCAAGTTCTGGTGTTTGGTGAGGCTGGAACTTGGCCTCCTATCTAATTACCTTTGCATCAGCTTTCTTAAAAAAAAAAAAAAAAAAAAGGCCAGGCGTTGGTGGCACACGCCTTTAATCCCAGCACTCGGGAGGCAGAGGCAGGTGGATCTCTGTGAGTTTGAGGCCAGCCTGGTCTGCACACCAGAAGAGGGCACCAGATCTCATTATAGATGGTTGTGAGCCACCATGTAGTTACTGGGAATTGAACTCAGGACTCTAGAAGAACAGCCAGTGCTCTTAACCTCTGAGCTATTTCTCCAGCCCCTTGCATCATCTTAAGCTTTTCTTTAATTCCCTTTCACAAAGTGGAAACTTAGCTGGATGGGGTCTTGCCCTCCGGTCACCACTCCCTTTATTTCATTTAGCATTAGGCTTTTCTTTAAATGTTTTCATCTCTACACATTCAATATTAGGCTGTCTTGCAATCTCCTCTGCCAACATCATTAATCTAAAATTCTTCAGTTTTGCCTCTGGCAGCTTTAGTACAAGGGCAAAACAGCCACATTATTTGCCAATATATGACAAAAATGTTCTCTAGGCCACTTACTAATATGCTTCCCCTCTGAAACTTCTTGAGCTGGCCCCCACAGTTCAAATCACCCTCAGCACTGTCTTCCATGATCCTACTGTGATACCCATTAATCCCTGCTTAAAGCATTTGGCCTCTTTTCTAGTCCAAAGTCCCAAAGTCTCCTGAATTCCTCCAACAAACAGCACAGTCAGGCCTGTCACAGCAATGCCGCAGTCCCTGGTACCAAATTCAGCCACTGTTCTATTGTTGTGAAGAGCATCATGACCAAGCAATTCTTATAAATAAATGAATTCTTATAAAAGAATGGGTGTCCATGCACAGATTGAGGTTTCTTAGGGCCCAAGGGACAACTTGTTCTTAGTATATGCTAGAGGTAACATTTCCAGTCAATGGGAGAAACTATTTGATAAAACTGGTTATCAATCTGTTCCTATAACAAAACTATAGATTGAATGACTTATAATTAGTTCTGGAGAGCAGAAAGCCCCAGGTCAAGGTGCAGGCCACTTGGGTGCCTGGCAAGGGCAGTTCTGTTTCATAGATGGAGCCTTGTTGCTATAGCCTAAGGAGATGTGCTGTGTTGACATAATGGAAGAGCAGAAGGATAAAAAGGGATGGAGGCCATGCCCTTTCATGTTAGAAGAGATGGAATGGTCCCAGTGGCTGCTGTAACAAATGCCTAGTTATAAAACAAAACGGCGACCTCTAGGAACTACATCTAGGTCATTTGGTAAAGAGTCAAGGAGGCCGGCTGGTGGTGGCACAGGGACAGGTGGATCTCAAGTTCAAGGACAGCCAGGGCTGCCACACAGAGAGACCCTGTCTCAAAAAGACCAAAAGGGGGTGTCGTGCAAGGTAAGATAGAACAGATTCTACCTCAAAGAGAAGGGGTCAGGGAAGAGCAGCAGAAATTCACAAAAAGAGTACAGGCCATGTTACACCTCGTACTCTGAAAGGGCAGGAGAAATGGAAATCAAGAGTCCTGATGAAAAAAGGCTGGCAGTCTACCGACGGGACAAGCCCTCAGCCTTCTGAAGTCTCCAATGCAGCGGCAGGGCCTGCTGGAGCAGTGCCTTCTCAGTGGGATGGGTCAGCAATGAGAAGAACTCCCCTAATTCAGAGGGCTGTGGCAGGGCATCATCTTGAAAACGAATTCACTGTTTAAACCTGAGCTATCCTGAGGGCCAGAGAAAAGGAACAGTCGTAAGTAATGGTGCCTAAATTAAACTTGCTATAGCCTCAGAGCAAGAGATGGCCCTGGGAAACAGCTGTGGAAAGCAGGAGGGCTGGGCACTGGCCAGCTGAAAAGTCCAGCTGGCATGGGACTCAAGCAGTGAGGTGTATAAAGAAAGGTGCTCTTGCCTGCGTAGGTGGAAGACCTCATCCACTCAGAATAACAGGAGCGGTGAGTAAGGAATCAGCTTTTGGCATTTTCTGTAGGGTTTGAGAACACTGGAACTCCCACAGATCACTTGATACCTACAGCTATATCCCTTCAGCAGGGTGATGAGTACTTTGCGGGTTCTGAACGCAGGGAGACAGGTCCACCAGTGCAGAACTCAGTGTTAGCTTAATTCTGCTAATCCTAGCACAACAGGGAGACACACACCCCCTACAATACTAGCCACATATGATCTGGAGAGTTTGGAAGGTGAGAAAACTTATCTGGTCCAAAGACTGCAAAGCTAAGTGTGTCCAGCAGAGGCCCATAGTACACAAAGAGCTACAGACATACAACAGCCGGAGATGGTGGGCATTGCACACATGTTCCATATACACTTGGCATAAACATAAATGCCAGGGAAGATCAGAGTCCACAAGTTGCACTCTGCTCCTCCATACACAGATATTGGCAGGCTTCAATTTTCAAGACCCAGCCAGAAAGAAGCTAATCCAACACTTTCCCATTTTTAATACTTTCTTTCCTTTTATGGGGGAGGGTGTTTACCTATTTTTACTTGTCAGGAAAGTATGCTTTTGATTTTCCTACATGCATTTCCCTAATTTTAATTATATATTTTTCTCATTTCTTGGCAATCCTCTCCTTTCATTTTTTTCCTCTGACAATTTTTCCTTTTTCTGTCTACTATACTTTTATTAGTATTTTGACTTTTTATTGCTTTTAAAACCTTTCTCTTTTAATTTTTTTTTTTTGGTTTTACGAGACAGGGTTTCTCTGTTTTGGAGGCTGTCGGTCCAGCCTGGCCTCGAACTCACAGAGATCCGCCTGCCTCTGCCTCCCGAGTGCTGGGACTAAAGGCGTGCGCCACCAACGCCCGGCCTCTTTTAATTTTTTATTCCACTTCTTTTTACCTAATTTTGGAAAGTTTTCTTTCTTGGGAAATCTTTTCTTCCTTTTAAAAATTCCTTGCTCTTTTCTCTTCCCCTTCATAATACTTTCCACCATCCTCCTCTTGTTTTTCCTGTCTTTTAAAATGGGGCAGTAGCTGAGAGCTTTACGTCCTGATCCACAGAAAGCCCACCTCCCAGTGACACACCCCTTCCAACAAGGATACATCCTACTCCAACAACACCACACCTCCCAATCCTTCCCAAATAGTTCACCAAGTGGGACCTAAGCACCACAGATAGAGTACGCAACCAGCCTGGTACAATTAGTAGACACTAGAGCTGGCATGCGAATTGAAGACGTCTGTGGAATCTCAGTCTGGTGAGATGAACAGAAAACACGAGAGGAGCACGAGAACAAAGATGAACCAGAAGTCACAGAGATCTTGGTTAAGAGTGAAAATTTGACCAGGAGACTACAGGACGGGAACCTCAGAAACAGGATTTCTATTTTTGAGAATGGGGTACTTGAAATTGAGATCTCAAAGGTAGTGCAGGTTTTTATTTGTTTGTTTGTTTTTTGGTGGTTACAGCATTAAGACCCTTGAAACAAGAGGCTAGAGTGCAATAAGGTACAATCAAAGAGGCCACTGGAGGAGAGAAGGCTAGAATCCAGGTGACGTATCAAACCGTGAGGTTGTGGAGGTCACCAGGATGATGACAGGAACAGCGCCAAAAGGAAGATGGAGTCAGGCAGAGGAAAGACTGCAGATGCCAGCAGTTTGAGGCTATGGAGAAGTGCAGACTGTATAGACATGGAGCCCATGGGAGGCCTGCTCTCGAAAAGAATAGTGGTCTTTGTTCGCTAGCCATGCAGTAGGCGGTTTGCTTTGTTACGTGCACCAGCAATGACACACTGGCTCCCTCCCCCACATCTGTGCCAGCATATTTTATCATTTGTTATCTTGGTGATAGCCATTCTGACTGATTTTGAGAATCTTGGAGCAGTTTTAATTTGCATCAAGCACTTATTTAAATATTTATTGGCTATTCCCATCTCTACCTTTGAAAACAGTCTATTTAATTCATTAGCCCATTTTTGATTGGGTGGTTTAGGGGTTTAATTTGTGAGTTCTTTGTAATTCTATATAGTAATCCTGCTAGATATACAGTGGACAAGGAGCTGTAGGGATGCAGGTCTCAAGAGCCATCACTCATGCCAGGGTGGGCTTTGCGGTGATGCGGGTGCTTTAGTTATCTGTGCTCCAGTGAACTTACTGGTTCACTAAGCCAGACGTGTCATGGGTGCCCCAGCTGGAGCATGTAGACAGTTGTTTGTGACTCCATGTGACAGATGTGTGGTTCTCCCTTCCCCAATGGAAGTGTTTGAATGTAGAGTTTCCCCAACTTTGTCCTTTATTCCCTGAAACTCCCCCTTTTTCTTGGTCATATCTGTTGAAGATGCTGTTCCCCATTTTTTAGTAACATAATTATTTGTTGATTCTTTGGGAATTATACATCATGTAGC